TGTTTCGTGATTACTATGAAAAATGATTTAAAATTAATTATCCCTGTTTACATTATTTTCTACAGGTAATATAAATATTTAATTCGATTATAAATAAGCCAAATGGAACGCCGACGTATTATTGCGTTCATTCAATATGTTGTTATATGTATTGTAACCCAGATATTGCAAACTATAGACGTTGAAATTAATCATTACTACATTGCTCAGCACATATCGTAAGATTTTCATTAAAAATCCAACGAATCAGTTTAAATAATAAATATTAATTATATAAGTGCGAGTTTTTAAATTTCACTGTTCGACATAGAAACTTATGTAAAGCATATTTGAATTCGGTGAATGAATGGTAGTAAATAAATACTGTTGTGTATACAAAGTAGTCCAATGGTAGTTGATTAATTTTAAACATTAATCATAATTTTGCGATTGTAACCAGTGTTTCTCAGTGGGGCATACGCTTCGCCGAAAGGCGATATTATAATTTTAACCCTTTCGGTATAAATACAAGGTTATCGATATTGAAGCGATGAATTAGATAATACTGTAGATTTTGAATAAATTGTAGAAACATTGTTTATCATTGGTCAATAATTCAATATATGCTTTTAGAGATGTTATCACTTTTATTATCTATTATCAAATTATTCAAGAATTTATACTGCAATCGGTTGTTGTGATTAGATCATATGGATAAAGATAACATAACGTAAATGATAAAATAGATTTATTTAAATAAAAAGTATTACTAAGTTATACGGAGATATTGAGTTGACAAATTAAAAATTAAGGATCAGGAGTGAGTAACAACATCAATCATGCCAAGACAACATCGATTTTTTTTCATTCGCAGGACATTCATCCATTCATTCGCCACGAAGATCACTAATGTTGGTTTTTGAGCCAAAAATTCGCAACAATTGTTCTTCGTAATCATCGAAATTTCTTTTCATTAGTTCCATACAAGGTCCGAGCAATCGTTCAAAGGCATCGACGTCCAAAATGCAAGTTTAACGTTATTGTGGGCATAGGCTGATGCTGCTCGTGGTCTAGATAGCAAATTAAATTATGGAATATCGGTAAAAAAAATTCTAAGTGGATTTAAAATTTCAGAAATTGTTCAGATTTATAGACAAATGTGTGGACGACTTTTGAAAAATGTGCAATCGCTTTGTGCAAAGTCATAAGAAAAAATACAGATTTTGGGATGACAACAAACAAATAATTCAGGTTTGAATAATTTGTGAAGAAATTTCAATAATTAGTAAAAATTTAGAAAGTGTTATATAAATTTTCAAATTTTTAAATATATTTTGCATGTTAAGCAAAATAATATAACATGATAATCTAGCTAGATTTAGCATATCTCAAGCAAAACTTTAGTATCAGGAAATATTAATCTTACAAGGCCTTTGTACAGAATTCCAGTATTCATTCAAGAAATAATAAAGTAACGGTTCGGTCGGTTCGATACACTATTTATATTTAATTATTAAAATATCGGTAAAATTTAAAATTTTGAAGTATTTTCTAATTAGCATTTGATAATAATATTAACTTCAACTGTAAGAATATTAACTTTAAAAAATAGACGATTATTAGAATCAATATACCAAATCAAAGGTTAAATATGTTCGAATTTTGTGATTTCTTAGATTAAAAGTAGCTATAAATTAGCTGGACAATTAATTATTCACTCACCTGTGCGTCACCAGGAGCTAATTCACCAAAATATCCGCCTTTTATAATTTTATTCACTTCTATTTCACGACCATCATCTCCATGAACTGTTATGGTAACCACTCCATCTTCCACAAAATACATTCCATCTGCAGAATCACCTTGTCTGTAGGACAGAAATTAAAAAAATTATAAAAATTGTTAAAAATAATTTTAAATAATTAAACTCACTGTGTAAAATTTAATTTTTGCATATTTATCCTAATTTTATCAATGTGTAATTGATTCACTATACTATTATCTACTGATAAAAGGTATTTCAATTTAATTCAATGCACTTAATAAATATGCTGTTCGTCTATTTTTGTGGCACATAATGCAATGTCGTTGCTTTGGTAATGTTTGCAATAAAATATGATAAAACCATGAAAGTATAACGGTATTTATTTTGTCTAGCATTTTAATTTTTAGGCAGGTACCCACCTGCTATATCAAAAGTTGTACAACTTTTATGAAAAAAGTAGATCGAATATTCGAATTAAAAAGTGTTAATTTATAGATAACAAGTGACCATCATAAGATTTTTTTACAAGTTGCAATAAAAAAGGTATCTTTATATTTTTAATTTTTCTTTTAACAATCGCTAGCAAAATTTGCATATTTTGAAGGTTTGAGAAAAACTTACTACTAATTATTAAATTTTTTTACTTCAATCCTCTTATTTATTTATACATAGTTGCACTACTCCTAACGTGCATATAACTTGAAACTAGCAAAATGCTAATTAAATGGCAAAAGTGAATTCGAACATTTTAAATCGTGAAATGTCAAGCGGAATAAATTCAATGTTGTCGATTTCGTATTATAAATGAAACAACATTTCAACCATAAACTGTCATTACTTTGTCATAAATAAGAGCCCCTGAAAAGGACTTCATTTGAAAACTAATTTAGGCAACTTTGACCAAGTTGAGAGGTACAATAGTATATTTTTAAATATGATAACTACTATAAAAATTTTGAATTTTAATTTATACATACTTTATTATTTGCTCTTCTGGTTTATATTCCTTTGATACTAAAGCATCAGCAAGATTCATTCGTTCATAAGGCTGAAGACTTTTCAACATAGGAACACTGTTGATGAGATTTTCATACATTTTGCGTTTTTTAAAAGCAGTTTTCAAAAGAATACGCCTAAATGTACATCTATCCATAGCCCATAAAGAGCCATCAGTTATTGCCTGTAGTAAAAATATAAGTTCATAGAAAAATATATTAAAAAAAATTATTTATGAATCTATAATTATTACTTGTATAGTAGCTGCTCTAGGCATATTGTAAAGTAATGCCAATTCTCCAAAGCTGCCGCTGTTTTCGTATGTATGAATTAATTTCGGCTCTTCTCCGGGAATGTTGGTTACATATGCTTTAAAAGTTCCGGTTTCAACAACATAAAAATTGTCTCCGTCATCACCCTGCAAATAGACAATAATTTTCCATATAAAAATGGCCCTTTACCAGCATATTGCTGCATCGAGTTATAAATCATCAGTATTGGAGAAATTCTAATGATACAAGTATATTTGTTACCATTGGTAATAAACAAATTATTTAATAAGTAAATTACTAAATCCAAATAAATTTTACTTGTTTAATTATGTAATCTCCAGAATGCACCCTCTTCTCAAACATTGCGTCCAGCACGATATTCATCTGCTCTCCGTCCAGAGATCGAAACAGTATTATTCCTTTCACAGACTGCATATTTATTGATCATTAATTTAATTTATTATATTTATAAATGAACAATATTAAAAGTTGATATGCAAAATACAGTTTATGGGGACGTTATGTGGTTATGGCTTAGTGACAAGTGTTGAGAGTTATATAGTAGATTTGTTGAATGGTTAATAATTAATAAATACTAACAATATAAATTAATATTGTAAATGAATATCAAATTAAAATAACTTCGTCTTTATAAACTAATCAACGCAAGTTTAATGAGATGGCTTTTAAAATTTGAAAATTGGTTTCACGTAGACGAAAGGTCAAATTTTGGTTCACAATCAAAAATCAATTCCTACCTGTTCCAATCGTTTTCGTTGGTCTTCAGATTTTGGGTAGATTGCCACTTCATCACTGTCCATTGCAGGATCGTAAGTTTCGGCAAAAACAGAACGCCTACGTACGTTGAACGTCATATTAGATAAAGGTTCTGCTAGTTCTGGTTCTTCTAATTCACTCTATATTTAGAAAAAGATCCAACTTTAAAAATATCATCAAAAGACTCGTGTTAAGATCAGTTCTCATATTTACTACAGATGATGGTTCCATAGTTATAGTCACTCTGTTTTCCTTTATTTTGGTAAAATAATCTATGGCATAATCTACTACATCAGCTGGCTGCTCAAGAAGGTAGCTCATCGTGAATTCCATCAGAACTTCTCGCAGATCATCAGGAACAGTCCTGGCCGCACGAGATGGAGTTCCTGGACGAGATGTATCTTGTTTGCCACATCCATACATTTTGGGACTAAAGAAAATGTAAATTTGTTTTTTGCTCATGTAGAATTCATAAATATTGATGTAATACCTTTGCTTGTTAGCTGAATATTGTGGATCTATTTATTATTCTTTGCATCCGATTTCATCGGTCAAATTAATTTTGATACTACTCATTTATCGAGAAAATACTCTAACGTCAAATTTAAAATAGGCATATATTTTTGAGTAACAAAAGCCGGCTTTGTTATTTATAATGAACGATATAAGTAATTTGAATGTTTTTTTATCTAAATATATAAATTTCGTAAAATTGTTAAAAACTGTTTATGATGCACCATAAAGAAATATTGCAATGTATATGAGATCAAACACATTTTTATGTTTTTTGAAGAAGATGATCATCATTTCAATAATTTCACTAATACTAATAGTATATTTGCTAATTGATTCAGCTACTCCAGGGAATGGTTATTTTTACTTGTAAACATTTTCAAATAAAACAGATATCACTACTGCTTGATATCAGGCTTGCCTTATCAATTCTATATTGATCAAGTTGTTAATAAACTTTGGAAAAAACTCATAAAAACGATTTATAAACTAAATCTACTATACTTCCGAGGTCATTTTTATTATCTTTGTTATCTTGTAAGTGATATGTATGAAATATAGATAAACTCATTGCGGAATAGTAACGTCAGGTATGCGAGATCATAAACGTTTTAAAAATGATTTCTATAAATTAATACTATAAGTGAATTTATTTAATATTTATATTATAAGTCGAAATTTTATAAGTGAAGAAGTGAATGTGTGAATATGATACGATTAATATTGTTCTTATCTATAGGGATTACTCTTGAATTTGGTAAGAAGCTTTAAGCAAATATGAAAGATATATTAGTTGGAATTTTGATAATTTTATTTACATTGACAAAAATGTCAACAAGAATTTATTGAGATATGTATATGAATTACAGTTTTAATGTTCTGTTGAAAATTTAATTATTTTTTTATAGAAATGAGGTTAATGCTCTATCCACATTAATATAATTAAGAAAATATATTTTAAAGAAATAACAGATGCATTGCATTTATTACACCACAATTCGAATCAGAAAATCAGTTTGAGAAAATATCAATCCTAATATCATTTTTGATATAAATTTTTGCTGCATACAAAAAAAGTCATCAATGGGGTTGGGTTGCCATTTATAAGCCCACGTCATTAAGAAGTCCACCACAAGCTCCTACGACTATTAACTTCTGACTGTTGTTAATTATTAAGTTCATCTAATTTTTTCCCAGGTCAAATATCATGTCAAAGCAGCGAAGAACTGGCTTTTCAACTATGTCCAAACGGACAATACAGTATGTCTACCGGAGTGAATCTGCTCGCAGTTTGTGTCCCTTGTCCATGTCCAAATAACTCTAATTGCTTGCAACTACCAGATGAGACAATAACATGTCTAAATTGCCCAAAAGGGTATGCAGGTCAACTATGCGACAAATGCGATTCTGGTTATTTTGATAATTCTGCTCAAGAATTGTCGGAATTTAGTGTCAATTGCGTACCTTGTAATTGCAATGGTAATGCAGACATTAGTGATGCTGGAAGTTGTGATAGGCAAACAGGTAAAAATAAGTGAAATATAGAAAATAATAATTCAATGAGCTAGGTTGCTCATATAAATATCAAATTTAGCATTCATTTTTTATTCCCAGGTGTCTGCCATAAATGTCTAAACAACACTACTGGTGACCATTGCGAGAGTTGTGCGCCTGGATTTTATGGAAATGCTCTACAAAGAGATTGTAAACCTTGCTCTTGTAATTTATGGGGCAGTCTGAAACCACCAAAATTAACTAGTCCAATACAATGCGATAGGGTCACTGGTGATTGTTTATGCGTACCCCATGCCAAGGGTAAACTTTGCGACGAATGCGAGGTAAACAAAAAAATATTTATTCATAGAAAAATTTATATTATTTGATTAATTAACTTTTGGCTCTTTGCAACCATTTTCCAGGTTGCCCACCTCATACCGATATCAAGTAGTAGTGATATTAGTGTTCACTTAAAAGATTTCAAATGTTCCTAAGTAAAAATAGTCCTTCCCAAAATTGTTGATTACTACTTTTATGAATTCACCTCGTACTACTCGTAATACTATGTTTACTACTCTTGATTTATTCAAGGTACTACTCGTACTAGTCGTAGTACTTCGTTTACTATTTATAGTGCTTCGATTGCTACTCGTAGTACTACGTTTACCACAAGTAGTACTACGATTACTACTTCATGAATTCACCTCGTACTACTCGTAATACCATGATTACTACACCTAATTATTCAAGATACTACTCGCACTAGTCGTAGTACTACGTTTACTATTCATTGTGCTACGATTACAACTCGTAGTACCACATTACTACGAGTAGTACTATGATTACTACTCATTCATTCATGAATTCTCCTCGTACTATTCGATATACCTTGTTTCCTCCCCTATACATTGATTCTACTAGTCATAGTACTACGTTTATTATTCAAAGTATTACGCTTACTATTCATAGTACTACGTTTACTACTCGTATTCCTACGATTACTACTCGTAGTACTCATTCATACGACTACTAATCATTCATTCATGAATTCTCTGAAAAATAATCATCACTATTAGAGTTCTTAAAATAGAAATCAATCGAATATAGATGATGGAAGCCACGTGGATTTTTTATCCAAAAATATCATCATAACAACTCAAACAAATTTAAATACTTTTTTATAGAAAGGCTACTATTTTCAAGGCGACAATGGGTGCAAAAATTGATTGTGATCCAATTGGAAGTATAGGTGAAAATTGTTCTGCTGAAACTGGGCAATGCAAATGCAGACCTGGAGTTTCGGGCCAAAAATGCGATGTTTGTGCTCCGTTACACTATGGATTTTCATCTACTGGCTGTACTGAATGCAATTGCCATAAATATGGATCCAAGTAAAAATTTCCATGAATAGATAAATAAATGAAATACATTTCTAAAATCGATAATATACTAAATTAAAATACATTCTAGATTCTAATTTTGGATATATTCATTGAATTCACGACCCGAAATAAACATCTTAATTTTTGTAAAAGAAATTATATCTATAGCATCTGAAATTAATTTATTTTTTGATAATTTAATTTACTATAATAGTATATTTTTATCTTTTACTTTCAGGAGTACGCAGTGTGATGAATATGGACGTTGTCCTTGCCATGACCAGGTTGAAGGAAAAACTTGTGATAAATGTATTGGCAAAAAACTAGGAATTCGCAAAGGCTGTTTCGACTGCCCGCGATGTTATGACTTTGTGGAAGCAGAATTTACAGACTACAAGCAATTGATCGATCAGAAAGAACAGGTACAATTTCAATCTCTTAAAATCTTAAATACAATATAAACAAAAAAGTTTTTACTTAAAGGATCTGATTGATATATCTGCGGATAATAGTACCGATACTGATTTCGACATTGAGTTCGAAGATTTAAAACAAACCGTTGATGATCTTAAACAAGATACTTTTAGTTCAATAAGCGATATCAACAACAAAAATACGAATCTTACTGAACTAGCAGCCTCCATACAAGCAGAGTATATATTATAACATAATATTGAAATAATTTATTACTTGGACAAATATAATTGTAAATGTAATTCACAGATTTTTAGATTCTTTGCCAAAATATATTGATGACCTAAATGACATAGCTCGAGACTCGCAGGACCTTATTAATATGCTCGAAAACGAGTTGCTCAGAGCAAAAGATAGCATTTCACAAGCTGAACCTGAAGTCGAGGTAACAAGAATAAATAGACAAAAAATAAGATATTAGTTATTCAATAAACATAAAAATGCAATCTCTCTTAAAACATTTTATTTATGCATCTGGTCTCCTAAAAAATGTTCTTCATTGAACAATAAATGTTCTTTTGTTTTAGTTAATAAAATTTATGCACAAAATTTCAAATAACTCGCCTTTCTGCATTTTACTCAATGTTTCATATTTTGAGATGATTCTAAGATGAATAATTTTAATATTTAAAAAAATTAAAACAATAATTATTAAGTTAACAATGTAGATAAAAAATGCATTCAAAATCTAAATGATTGTTACAATTTTAGGCTGCTTTGACCTATATAAAAACTGAAGGTAAAAAAGCACTAGAAGATGCAGAAAAGTTTTCTGAAACAGTTAATTCATCTAAGGATCTGGAAAATATAGCAAAAGAAGCCAAAGATCTAGCAACTGAGCTAGAAAACAATGTTAACACAATTACAGATTTAGCAACACAAGTTAAAAATATTTCCGATCAACTTTTATCCAAAGAGCCTGAATTAAATGAATTATTCCCTAATGAAACTGAGTAAGTAACTTAATGTTTTTATTTTATTTTTTTTCTAATAAATGTATTAATTCAAAACAGCTCCTGGCTAGAGTACTTGCAGAATAGAACCGAATCGTCAAAAAATAACATGCAAGAGTTACTCGAACTTGTTGATGATACGAAGCAACTTTTATTGGATGTTTGTATTTTCCAATTTGTACTATACAATATTTTTAAATTTAATAACCATTAATTTAATAACCATTAAAATTATATATTCCAGACCAAAAATGATTATATCGAAATAATACAAGATATAAATAATGCAACTGTTCCTGAAATTAATATTCCCGAATTAGGTAACCGCATAGAAGCTATGAATGGAGTGTCTAATCGGATCATAAGAGAAGCAGATGATTTTTTAAATGGACCACATTTATATCAAAAAATTAAAAAAGAATTAGAAACAAATTCTAATGTTATGGAATCTTGGAGTGAATTGGTGAAAGAATGGAATGCAATGTTGGAGAGCGTTAATAATTATAACAATATGGCAAAGGAAGCGATAAAGATGGCAAATGATGTGTTAGAAAATGCTAAGAAAACACTGGAAGAAGTATCGGGTAAGAAACACTTTATACCAAAAATGATTAAAGAGAAACTATTATAATTTTAATATCCCAATCTGTATCGAACGATTGTAGACCTATGCCAAGCACATAAAAGCTTTGGATTCCAAATATCAAGACAACTGGATATGAGATGAACATAATAAAATATAGTTTCAAATATATAGGAATAATATAGGAAATTAAATTCACGAAAACACTTACCAGTTTCATATGTTGTAGTACCAATCCAATCCATGCAATCCGAAGTTTTAATGTACTGATGGCCCAACTCTCTTTTGTAGTAGATACCATCAAAAAATGCCGTTGGAAATCACGATTAGCCAATAACGGATCATTTGCTTCACCATCACCATCATTTACCACTCTGTCTAAACTGTCTATTAACGTAATGTAGCCTGCTTCTTGTTGGAGATATTCCCATTTTTGATAATTTCGAACAAAAAATATATATGAGTCTCACCATCAATTAGCACTTCAGCACATAACAATTACTTCATTTTTTCGTCCTTTAATTTACTCTATGGTCACTAAAGCATTGAACTTAATTTTATAAACCAACTAAAATATTGTTGAAAGTAGAACTATCGAAAATTTACATGGATTTCATTATCTATGTGGAATGTAAATGAAGTTTCCTATTCAATTCTAAATTTTACTTTGCAGAGAACAACAACTTGAAAAAAGTGAAAGAAGCCGCTAAAGATGCACTTAATGAAAGACAACAAATAAAAAGTGATATGAATGAAATATCAATTGAAATTAATACTTTTGGGGAAAAAGTGTCTGAAATAAAAAACAACATAGGATACTTGAATATATCCGTGATTAATGGAGAGATTCAGGATTCTAAGCAGGTACTTTGGTTAAATAAAGAGATAACAGTGATCGAAAAAATAAACTAAAATATATATAAAAAGAATATTACGTTTTAGCAAGTAAAATCCACACAAGATGATGTGGAAAATATCCAAGAAAATTTAAATTCTACAGAAGATACTCTTCAAAATTTAGATGATTATCTAAAACTAACTGAAGACCGATTTGTGAAAGAAAATGATGTATATAAAAAAGATGAAGCTTTACTAAAAGAATCCAGTAAAAACCAAAATAAATTGCATTCTGATATGGAGTCATTCGCAGCAACTTTAAATGAAAGACTATTAGAACTCGATGATATAAGAAAACATTTAAATAACACGATAGAAATTGATGAACAAACTCTCAACAAATTAGGTAAATATAAAATAATATAACTTTAGATGATATATAGTTATATACGTTCATATACTTCAGAAAGAAGAATTAAGCTGCTAGAGAAACAATTGAAAGATGATGATATTTCTGGTCAGATATCAAAACTCCAAAATATACAAGTAAAACAAACTTATTTAATTTCGATGAAAGAAGATGAATTAAAATTTTTGGAAAACGAAGTAGAAAATGTAAAATACATTGCTGCAGCACTGCCAGAGGCATGTTATAAGCCAACCGATTTGCAAAGATAAGATAAAAGATAATTATAAAATAATATTCATTAAAATAAATATTATTATATTCCGGAATATATTATTAAGTTATTTGAAGCTCATTATTTATTAACCATATTATAATTTTTTTAAGTACTTTTTTAAAAAAGAATGATGTAACAAGGTTGTTAATTTGCATCTGTCCCATTAAAACCACAATATTCTAACAATATTTTATTAGAAATATAAAATTATACGACATCTAACTATAAATTTCTTATCTAATCATATAAAACTCTATCTTTGACCAAGTCGATTAATTCTTAAATGCACTTTGTCCTTATAAATATCTCGAAGAAGCACAATTTAGATTTAAAATATACATATAAGACATACAACTAATGAAATACCTGTAAAAAGTTGACTGTAGGTGAGAATCGATTAATTCTATCAGTTCCGTAGATGGCACAAATAATATGCAAGAGATTCTAAGAGATTTATGGCGAAAAAATAATAAAGTATAAAAACAATAATAGAATATTGATGCACGATAATTTAAATCTATAATTCGGTGGTATCTATCAATCCCGAGATTGATCATTACCATAATTTTGTTATTGCATTTTTTAAAGATCTTTTAATTAATATGGTTCAAGGCGGGCTCTCTTGAAACAGCCTGCTGGTAGTGCATCTGCAATTGCTTGAACTGCTTCTACTTCCGCTTGCAATCTTTCCAATTCGTCTTTGTGATCGCGAATCCAACCCTGTTGCTTTTTCTGAGTAGCTCGTAATTGCTCGATCCTAACATCCAAGTTGGCTGCTTTGATAATGTTTTCGGCATCGGTAAGTTTTCTCTCTGAAGAAAAATGTTAACTAGGTGTGAGTGGCTTTTTGCCTTGAGGCAACTTGCAATAACCTCTTGATATGTGAAGATAGAAGTTCGTTCAAATCTTAACACGTCCCATTATTTCAAACTTTGATGATATTTTATAAAACTAAACCACTTTACGTAGATCTATATTATTTTAGCAATATCTCTATCATCCTGCAAAACTTCCTAAATCTTCGAATAAAATTATTTTAACAATTAATTACGAAGTAAAATCTCGACCCATCTTGACCAAAACCTGATCAGCACAATTTCCAACTGATATGTTTCGAAAAGCTTTCGAATTTTCAAAATTCGTTGTAAATTTTTAACGAAAACTTGAATAAAAAATAGTGTAATTATATACTTCTACATTGCTAATAGTTTTTAAAATTTTGACATCGGTGCAGCTGGTTTTGAGAAAACACAGACAAAAAGTCAAATAAAAATTTCATTTCCAAATGATGACTTGTAGCGTCAAAAAATATAAAATCGAAAATAAAACATATATCGGAAGTTACCCATTCTTTCAATAAGAAGAACAACTAACAAATAAACAAAACAGTAGTAAACTTGGTTCTTAACAAAATCTTCTATCTCACTTACCCAATTCTGCCAGATCTGACTCATCGATGTCTGGTAACTTTTCCAGCTCCTTCTTTATATCCTCGACATCTCTAAGCGCCTTTTCAACTTGCTTAGAAGCCTCTTCAGCGTCGCTTTTAGCTTGGCCCACCAATGTTTTGGCGGAACTGGTAAGATCTTCTTCATCCTTGGCCTGGACTTCGAGTAACTCTATACGCAAAGCGGTTTCGTTGACACGTCTATCTAAATCTTTTGATTCGGCATCATATCGATAAACCTCTGCTTTAGTGCTATTTGCTTGTTTCAGAATTTCGTTGGCCAGCTGTAATTGGTAAAGGAAATATTAGGTAACAATTGGCAAAAATGGATGAAAAAATTGACAGTTTTTTGTGAAAATTTCATATATTTACCTTATTAGCATTCTGTGCCTGAGTTTGAGCCTCCAAAGCAGTAGCTTTAGCATTTTCGGCATTACTTACAACCCCAGAAAGGGCAATTTCAGCAGTAATAATTTGGTCTGTAGCTTCTCTAATATCATTCTCGATTTGTACTTTATCTTTGGTAAGTGCTTCTTGGGCCGCGTTACGTGAAGACTCAACTTCCTCATGGAACCCTAAGAAAAAGATTGTAGTGACGATGTATTAGTTAACATTAATCTTCAATAATAATAAATAATTTTTACCTAATAATGTCTGTAGAGTTTTTTGCGCTTCGGCCAATGTTTTATCTCCCAACTCCACTGCTTCTTTTGCAAGTTGATTCGAAGAATCAGCTTCTGCTAATAGGGCATCGATATCATTTTGCTGATTAACGACACGATTGACTAAATCTCGCGCGTAATCAATTTGATCTTCAATTTCTGCCATTTTATCCCCACGAGGACCTACAAACAAATCTTCAGCAGCTAATTTTATTTCTTCAGCCTCATCCATTATATATTTGGCATCTTCGCGAAGCTTTGCAATATCTATCTCGGGCAAAGCGGCATTGTCGACTTCGGTGTAAATGGCTAGAGCATCTTTTTGAGCCTGGTAATAAAATAAATCACAAAAAATCGAAGAGTAATGAGAATAGTACAAAGTAATATATAATTAATTAGATGAAATTATTTTAAAAAAGAAAATGTTGTCATTTACCTTATCAGCGAGTTCGAGAGTTTCTCTTGAATGATCGAGTGTTGTTTCCAAACGTACTCTGCATGGGCGACAGCTGCGGTTAGTCCTCTAATCGAATCTCTAGATATAAATGTTAGAAATACATATAAAAATTGATCTTAAATTTCAAAAATATTATTTTCATAAAATATTTTCCTTACGTCACATTATCTTGCAAGTCCAAGGCTCCTTTAGCAACATCGTAAGCCTCTGTAGAAACGTTTAGAGCTCGTTGAGCAGTTTCTCTAATAGTCTTATCTTCTTCTTCTAAATCATGTGCAAGTTGTTGAGCTTCTTTTACAATATTCGACATTGCTTCAGATTGATGACCGAGTTGCTGACTTCTATTTGTTGCGCGATCTAAAGCCTTAACACCCTCGTCGGCCAAAAAGTCCAACGCATCCTGAAAGTAATAAATAATTTTGGTTATATGTATTTATTTATATAATTTAATTTTTACTCACATTCAATTCTTTTGTGGCAGCTTCAATTATAGCTTGAGCGGCTTCTAGATCTTGCTTTCCCATAGCTGCTGTTTTTCGACCTTCATCCGCCAATAGATTTACTTGATCGACTAGTGCTTCACATTTTGATAATCTATAATTGTAAGAATAATAACTCTATACATTCACAATAAAATATATTTAAAAAAAATATCAAAATCTTACCTATCCTGAAGTTCTGAAACATGATCGAACAAACTCTTATCTCCACCACCTGTTGCTAGTTTAGCGTCTGCCGAGAGCTTATCGACTTGTTTTTGAATTTGATTTAGTTTTCGTCAAATTCAGTATTATCAACAACTGTGGGATTGCTCTTAATGTCGGCCAGTACCTGAATAAAAAATAATAAAATGTTATTACGTTGGAATATAAAAAAATTTATGTTTAGATTAATTATTATTATTAAATATTATACCTTTTGCATTTCATGAAGTCTATCACGATGTCTATGAACAGCATCTCTGACCAGGTTGTAACAATGCGGACAATCAATACATCCTCGTTTTCTATCGTAGGTATTTTCTTTGCATCGATCACAACGTCTACCTTCTACATTATCGTTACAAGGACATTGTCCATTTACATCGCACTGCAAGCTCCTAAAATCGGAAAAAAAATATTAGAATTTCATTTATTTAAGAAAGGAATGTACAACTAGAATATATAAATATTACTCACTGAGATCCTGTTTCATCGCAATCACAAGGCGAACACCCGGTTGAAGAGAAACCATATTGTAAAGGTGCGCAAGAGTCACAAAGTTTTCCAGTTACACCTGGCCTACATTGACACTGTCCAGTATCAGCATCACAAGCTGGGCCTACAGATCCTATCGGATTGCAATTGCAATCTTTGCAACCATTTCCACTTGTCAAATCATAATAACCGACCTGTAAATAATTCGAAGTTATTTGAAAGTCCACAGAATCAATAAGCCAATAAATTTTTAATATTATATTTACCTCGCAAATATCGCAGTTCTTTCCTGTGACATGTGGTTTGCACATGCAATGACCAGAAATTTGATCACATTTTGGTGGTCCGCCCTCTTTGGTATATTCAGTTCCGTATGGATTGCAAGCACAACGTCTACAATCGCCTTGGGGAAGAGCAAGGGCATCACCGTAGCCAGGCCAAGGTCAAAGGTCAACAACATAGTAATCCGGCCGTGTGATGAAACATTTCAAACATGCACCTTGATAAATTAATTTTCAGATTTATACATTTATTTATAAAATTTTGTAAAATATTTATTTTATTCAAAATTGAAATGTGGTACCTGTGGTTCTATTACAATTTCCTACGGCATTAACATCAACATTGTTATTACAATCGCAAGGTCTGCAAGGTTCAGCATAGCCTGTCTGTCTTCCTGTAGGGTCTCCATAAAATCCGTCTGAGCAAAGGTCACAACGAGGACCTGCATATCCTGCAGGACATTCTAGACAAACCACAGTCTCATCAGGAAGCTGTAAACAAGCACCTCTTTCTGGACAAGGAACACTTTGCAATCGTAGGGCGTACCGCCAAGGGCACTTCCATAATAGCCTCTTGCGCAAAGTTCACAATTGTCACCGGCAGTGTTATGATCACAAATACACCGACCTGGAAATTATCCATTTAATATATACAATCAATTTAAGTAAATATCAGATGTTTATTTTAAATTACCAACCTGTGTCAGAATCGCAAATATCCGTATGACCATTACACTCGCAAGGAACGCAAGATGCAAATGGTCCTCCGTTTGCAGGTGTGTGTCTAAAACCTGGTGCGCAGGATTCACAATACTGGCCAATATAACCAGAAGGACAAGTACATGTCTCAATCCATGTAGCTTGTTGACCTTAAAATTATATAAGCAATTATTAAATAATCGAAAATAATCGAAATATGATAGATTATTTAATAGTAAGTTATATTTCAGTT